ATTCAAAAAAGCTCTCATGAGCCTCAGACTCATGACGCAGCCTCAGAGAGCCAGATTCTTTTTCTTCATTGCTCGAGGTTTGTTGTGGCGAACTTCGTCAACTCGATTTCGTACTCACTAGGGATGGTCGCCAAGTGGAAGTGAGAGATAGGTCGCGGGACGTGCTTCTTAGATGTTGGTCTCAAATTTGCACTCGACATTTGCAGAACGATTCTCTGAACTAATTATGAAGGACTTATCCGGGGATGCATCAAGGGGGTGGAGGCTCGTATTTCGTCGCTAGAGAGGAAGAAGTCTGAAGAGAAAGGAGAGATTTGATTATATAGGAAGGCGGTAGGTAGAAGGGGTGAGGAAGGGGAGAGGGTGCACCACAGGAAGGGCTTCCAAGGATCCAATATGATTTGCAAATATCATTCCTCCCCCGACGGCAGAATGCGCCCTACAACTCTGTTCCCCGTGACCTGTTCCTATCAGAGAGAAACGGTAAATACGCGATGGCTTTTGGAAGGACGATCTTCAAACACATTTCACAAAAAATAATCGCGTTCCACGGGGGCATTCTCGCCTCTGCGAGACGCGCCTATTTCGCAAAGGTCAAGTGCTTTCATCAGGCTACAGTCTACGGTGCAAAAAATAATCACAGCAGTAATACAACAGATTCTATGTGACATTGTTTCAATTGGTGATTGGAAAAAGTCCACCATTCTTGTAATGGAAATGTATGGCCTTTCATCTAATTCAATTGCACATTCGTTTGGAGTGCGTAGTTCCAGTATCGAAGCAAGGCTGCGTGACTTATGAGCCACTCAGGGAGTAAGTTTTTTGCGGGCAAAGGCAATCAAAATGTACAGCAATTTTGAAACGAGCAAACATGGGCACTTATAACTTACCACGTGTAGTAGGTCGATCAAAAAGACTCCATAGGTTTTTTGGGAGGTTCTAGAACTTTCGATTTTTGATTTCCCTGACGTACGGAGTGATAGTTGCAAAACATTCTCAAAGATTCTCCACAAAAAAATATTCAAGAAGGCGTGCGTTTTCTTGGGTTTCAGCCAGAGCTTCTTCTCCAACTGCTAGTCATCATCTGTTATGAGAGGCGCTGTGACATATTAGCGACGACAGTAGGCCTCTGCAGCATGAAAAGCACTTGTAGGCAGCGGCGGCGGGAGAGGGGAGGGGGGGGGGGGGGCAGACAGGCACCCTACCATCATCATCGTTCCATCCACCCTGGCTCGCTCGCATTCCACCACCTCAAAGACCAACTGTAGCACTAAAACGATTGGCACGTTCCGGTCTCATGCAGTATGTGGGTAGGCAACCTGCCCTGTGCGTCCGCGCAGCTGCGTAGCAATGCCGAGGATATGGGAAAAAAAAAGAAAAAAAAAGAAAAAAAAAAAGAAAGAAAAAAAAAAAAAAGAAAACCAAAAAAAAAATCATCCCGTCGTGTGAAACCACATGGCGGGGGTCGTACTTGGCCGCTGAGGAGAGATGTGGGTCGGATTTGGTCGTTGTAGGGAAGGTTGGATGTGGCTTTGAGAGAAATTAGCCGTGTTGGGAAGTTGTCCCGGTTGTTGAGTTTTTGTGATTTTTCCTGTCTCATGTGTACTACATACTCTCCCCCCCCCCTTGGAGATGGGGGGTGGCTGCACCGAAACCTCGCCTGCGAGGGATGGTCAATACGGACTACAACGCCTATTCACAGTTTCACAGCAGTAATCTGTACCTCGGCCAACTGTCACTTCCTTAAGGTCAAAACGCTCACGGGGAATGCGGTTTCGAGTGTAAGGCGATACCCAGGGCCATCCGGATCGTCTATTCCGCGCGCGCTGTCGCACGACAAGCCACACGCCTAACCATAACCAGGCCCGCTACTCCTCTGTAGCCTCTCACTTTTCGCTGTTCTCTTCCTCTGACTGTGTATTCGCTGTGGGTGGCATGACTGTCGATGTAAGTGTGGCCACCCAGCATGTCATCGCATTGTGTGGAATTTCTGCTAGATAAGGCACTTCTCCCTCGAGTGCGGGTCTTCGTACGACCCCTCCCCCTAAAAAACGAAAAAAAGGAAACGAAGAAATGATGTAGAATCTTTTACTAAAATTTTGAACATTCGCGCGCATTCAGAAGTTGTGCCCGAACGTTCCAAACTGTCGCTGCGGTTAAAACTTTAGGAACTCTTTTTTCTGAGAACACAACTTTTTTGAGAGTGGAGCTTGTGAAGCTGAGAAGCAGGGTTGTGAGGCTCCAGCTTCAGTGCTAGTTTTCAGGCGGTAAAGGTGTTCCGTTTGCTTTTCTTCACTAGAAGGTCCATGAATACTTCGTCTATCATTCAATAACTGATCATCGCTGCCCTTCGCACTTCCGAAAAAGCCCTACGCTTACGACCACCCTCCCCCCCCACCTCCCTCTCGCGGTCAGATATGACCTGTTCTCTCCTTGTAACTTCCACAGCGATAACTGCTGATGCTTTAGCTGCACGTCGAGGATAGTTCGGATGGAATGTGGACACGGCTTTCCGGTACCACACCCTCCACCCCGTTCCCGTGCCCTTTTGAGCGAAGAGACTAGCATGCTCCTGCTGCTGCGAACCCACTAGCCTCTTACGTGGCAACAACCGACCTCGGAGGTGAGTGTACAGATTGTCTTGAAGGAAGTTTGAATGCATACATGGGGATGGAAACAATGGCTTCTAAGTTGATGGTCACTTGGAAGGCATTATGTAGCCCAACCATGTCATTACCTTTTCCAATAGATCCCAGATCTTTGGGAAGAAACCGGCCTTTCTATTGCAAATTGCTGTCCTTTGTCCTCAAATAAGCAGTCTCAACAAAGCTTATATATGTCATTTCTAATTTCATGTGGAAACCTCGAACTATAATGATTGATGTTGTATCGCATTGAAAATCCAGAACTGCAGGGGTTTTTTAGCTGTGTCTTCGCGAACAATGTGCAATGTATGTAGATGCAATCAAATCCAAACTGGTCGTATAATTAGATGTCAATTCAATTTGTTCACTCTGCTGCCTCCAAGAGCCTCTAAAGAACCCTCTAATGTGAGCGTAACCAACCTCGTTTTTCGTTGAAACACTGATTTCAGCGACATGCGATGTTGCGATAAATTGACCTGAAATCATATAATTATTAATGAAACTAGGGGAAGCTCATTACTATTATATCTACCCTTTACGACTCCGAATTTTTGCAGTTTTGTTCAAAAATCTCTTCCGCGAAATTCTGGAAAAAGTGGAAGGAAGTTGGGGGAAAGTCTAAGTAAATGGTAGGAGAGGAGTCGTCCTCGCGGGTTCTTTCCGCTTCACAACATGTGCCATTTGCCCCCCCCCCACGCTCAACAGTCCGGTGAGTAAGGAACCAGGGGCCGTACCAACCCCCTAAAAAAGGGATGGTCGTATGGGCTGGATCAAACGCCTCGATTAATGATGTGTCCTGTTCCTGATGGCGAGTTTCACACTGATTCAAATAACTCAACGCACTGCATCGTTGGGATCCCCTCCCCACAACAAAGGGGGATCGTATTTGGTCTGAGGAATTTTCTCTCGATTGTTGCTTTTTCTTTTTCACGGACGCCACAAGGGGTAGGGTCGTACTTGCCCGTTGTTGGGGGAGGGGCGGTCGTATTTGTCTTCTGGGAGAAATGGCGTTGAGGAAATTTCTA